CAAGGAGGAGGAAAATAGACATTCCTTTACAATGTGTCCAGAGGCTGTAATAGACTATACCTACATATAAACCTGGAAATATATTTCTCACAGGTCTAGAGATTTGGAAACCCAAGATCAAGGATGTGCAAGATTCTGGGTTTCCATCCTCAGAAGTAGAAAAAACAAACAAACAAACAACTTTTCTTCATATAAGTTGATTATCTCAGAATTTGTTACAGTAACAGAACTAGCTAACACCATCCTTCTCTAAGTGTGGACTAAGACTGTATTTCTATTCTCAAAATGTACTTCCTGAGCATTTGATACTTTTAAAAACACAATGTTACCAAAGATCTTTTTGTTTTGTTTTTCAGTATGTGTGTGTGTGTGTTGTGCTAATGTGTTCTCAGAGGCCAAAAGAGGGTGTGAGATTCCTAGGAGCTGGAGTTATAGGCTTTTACAGAGCACGAGGACTGTTACATGAGTGTTGGGATAGAAACAACCGTCCTCTTGACTACTCAGCAAGCCCTCATAACCACTCTCTCTCCAGCCCCCAAATTTTTTTATCCTTGTATTCTAGGATCTCATGTCCTCCTGACTTCTAACTTTCTTGGAGTTGGCATTGACTCTGTGCCAGTCCATGGACTTAGCAATAGAACCTGCACTCCTCAGTTTTAGCCTGATGCACTCTCCAATACACCACAAGTCCTCATCCTGAAATTCTTCCCACTGATGATGGGTTCAGGTGAAGAACCAACAAACTAATTAACTTCCTAGCACCTTGTGCATGGGGACTCTTTGACTGGATCACAACATGGAAAGAAGAAGAGATTAGAAGTCAGAGACACAAACATTGGGATCCTATGTTTAAGCAATTTACTCTCAATGACTTTAGGTTTCTTTGTTATGAAATAAGAATAAAAGGCTAAAAAGATAGCTCAGTAATTAAGAATACATACTGCTCTTCCAGAAGAAGAAGTCAATTCCCACCACCATGTCAGATTGCTCACAACTCTCTATAGCTCCAGCTTCAGAGGATCCAACACCCTCTTCCAGCCTCTACAAGTACTGCACTTACATGCACACACACACAAACACAAACACACACACACACTTAAAAACTAATAAAAGTCCTTTTAAAAATAAAAATGAGCTGGGCAGCGGTGACACTCAGGAGACAGAGGCAGGTCTTTTGATCGAGTTCCAGGACAGCCAAGACTACACGGAGAATCCCTATCTTGAAAAATAAATAAATAAAAATAACATAAAATAATAAATAATAAAAAAATTAGGCCTATGAATATTTTGAAAAGTAAATAGTATGTATACCAGTATGTCTGACACATGTATTACATGGAACAAAATCATGAGTTTACTGTGAGTTATAGCTTGCAAGCTGTTGGTCCAGTGGCTTTAAGAGATAATAACATCACTTCTTAGCCATACTGTGGTCATCAGATAGGACTCCTCCCTGCGACCTACCCATAGTGCTTTTGCTAGGGAAAAACCTGCAGTGAATAAAAAGAAGCTACTTTTCCTTATCATCTCACTGAGGCTCTTCACAAAAAAATGTACAGGCGTGAATCTGCACACAACAATATAGCTAAGACATAAAATAGTGAAACAATAAAGCAATAGGACTAATGGGTTAGTATCCCAAATAAGCACAAACCCCATGAAGAGGAAAGGGAGGGATGGAGGAAGCTTTTTTATATGTGGATTATGCCACACATCAGTGTTTTTCAGATTATGGTGATTTTTTTCTTTCTGTTATATAAATAATAACAATAAATTTATGAACATTAATAGGAAAAATACAAATGTATAAGCACAAAGAATTCTGACTGCCAGGTGGTGGTAGTGCCCACTTTTAATCCCAGCAATCAGGAGGCAGAAGCAGGCAAATCTCTATGGGTTCCAGGCCAGCCTGGTCTACAGATCAAGTTCCACGGCAGCCATAGCTACAGAGACACCCTGTCTCAAAAAAAAAAAAAAAAAAAAAAAAAAAAAAAAAAAAAAAAAGGAAGAAAGGAAGAAAGAAAGAAAGAAAGAAAAGTGATATTTCAGGGGCTGGAGAGATGGCTAAGCAGTTAATAACACTGCACATTCTTACAGAGGACCCAGGTCTGGTTCCCAGCACCCATTTGTAACTCCAGTTCCAGAGGATCTGACACCATCTTCTCACTTCTGCATTCACCAGAAATATATGTGGTGCATTTATATACAAGCAGGCAAAACAGTCATACATAAAATAAAAACAAATGTTGCCCCCCCACAATATTTTAGCTTCAAAGAGCAAATAGCAACTCACCATATACAAATGAAGCAAGTGAGAGAACAACCAAGGCAGGCAGGACGTACATCATGCATAAGACTCAATGCCTAGAGCGATGTATAAAGAGAATATGGTGGGAAGGGAGGAAGGGGAGCCTGGAAGCATAATTGAGATTGTAAGGGCCTGTGCTCCACACCGAAGACTGGACTTCATCCTCTACACAGAGGGTCTCCAAATTGATGCCCTCAGCAAAGAGCATATGTGAGATGATACCTTATTAGGGTTTCTTTTCTTACCATTTGTTGGTTGGTTGATTGGTCGGTTTTTTTGAGACAGAATCTCCATCAATATTCTATAGAACTGACAAGGTCGGCAAAAATGAAGAAAGTCTGAGAGACTGTAAATGAGATTACAGAGTGCCTGTCCAGGTACCTCAGATAGGATTACAGTCTGATGTGATAAAACCACAGGTTGCACAATGATGCTAAATGGGCTTTCTTGTCAAAGTCCTAGAACATCTGCCAGGTTTACAGCTGGGAAGGGGGAAAGGCCATACTCAAGGACACACATGCTCAGGACTTAGGCAGGATCCACTACTATTTTAACATTACTTAAAATACCTGTGTTAAAAGAACAGTATAGACAACCTTCACAGCAAACTTCGTTGATGGTACAGGCATTCTTAACTCAACTGGCGGGAGACTTCACCCAGTCTTGGGAGTGTGGGGTTCCTTTCCCATGTTCTCTCAAATTCTGCCTACCTATCCTACCTCAAACTTTCTGTATTGACTTTGCAACTTTTCTGTAACTGGAACCTTCTCAAGTAAAAAGTGTACTTAAGGAAACATGGTGTTGCTATGATCAGCAAGCTTTCAAGGCTGTTGGAACTGGATTCCCTGTGCTTACCAAGAAGGACATTAGCAATCTTTTCTCAGAGAAACAGAATCAATAAGAGAGAGGAAATACAGTGGAGAGCAAACTTATTGGCTCAGGACAGCAGTGGTGCAGAAAGCTGAGACCCCAAAGGGCTTTTGCTAATGAAATCTGAAGACAGTCCTTGCGCTCCCTTCTTCCCATCTTCTCTGGGGAATGAGATGAGAAAACGGAAGCTGGTCTTTTTATTCTAATCAAACCTTCAAATTGATTGACATCCACCCATGTGTTGGACAAGCAAGCTGACACATCAAATTAACCACACCAGAACTACTGTCTAAACATTTTAAAAGGATTTGCCAGGTGGTTGTGTGCTTGCTAAAGGGTCCTATCTCTACAACTGTCAGTCGGTTTGAAATCTACAAGATATGATGGTTGTTTTGAAAGACCCCCACTATGCTTATTGCCTGTTTAAATTGCTCTTGCTAATTTGCCAAGGTCAAGTTATGAGAAAAGTACAGGAGGGAACCAGGTGCTGCTCTCATCCAACGCCAACCAGATATCTGTGGTCTGCAGCTTGGACCAAAGCAAGGTCAGCAGGACAGTGTCCAGTATGCTGAGATAGTCATAACTGAATTCTTTGTATTCTTTGTGCCCAACCCGAATAACCAACTGTCCTTGGTTAACTACAACTACTACATTTAGATGACACAATGAAATCCCTGTAACCATGCTTCTGCTTCTGTAAGCCTGCTTCTTGCCACCCCAACCCTATATAAACTGCCTGAGTTTTAACCTCAGCACGCTCAGTCCCCCCAAAAGACTGAAGCGTCCACAGGTACCTGTGTAAACAATAAACAACCTCTTGCACTTGCATCCAGTGGTCTGGTCTCGTCTCTTGGGGGCAAGGGCCTTCCCCCTGACAGGCTCCAAACTCTTGGGGTCTCTGGGGGGGTCTTTCAGTTTAAACTTGAAAACTAGTTCTTCAGAAATTCTTAGCCCTTCTTCTACACAGGGACCTCATGTGGCTTACTGAGTTACTGGCTTGCAAGCCTTTGCTATTCTTTGGTCTGCCTGGAATTCTCCAAGGATATCTACCACATTCTATCTTTTCTATCTGTCTGCAGAAATGGCCTTTATTACTCAGAGGCCCAAAGGCCCCAACAAGGCTGACTGGGACATTTACCTAGTTCCCCTTTCTTAGAGTCAGCAGTAGGAAAACCTTTCCAAATTAGATTAACAGAGAAGAACCCCACCAAGCTTGAACGTGGCCTGCCGGCTGGGAATACCAGCGTCAGTCTAGTGTGCATGAGGGCCTGGTTCAATCCGCAATACCTTCTCAGAGTGGGGAAAAACAGCTGCCTACATTAGGGATAACCTGTGAAATAGGCAGTTCGTCCGACAGAACATGTTTTTCTTTACTGCTTTTCCACCTCAAAAATCCATATGTTGTCCTAGAACAAAGACTGCTAATAGTCGGGAACTCTAGTACAGCCATCTGGAGATCAAGTATCCCCTGTCCACATCACTGCGAGATGAAAGCCCCGTCGAAGCCTTCAAGTCCTCCCCAAGTCCTCCCCAACCCCTCAAGAATCGGAGCACCCCGGCTTTCGCTTGGGGAACAGAAACCTGGATTCCCTACCTCCCTCGACGCACCAAGCAAGCGCCACGCCCAGTCCAGACACGCCCAACACCACCACACCACGCTCACATCGGATTTGCCCGAAGCTAAAATGGCGCCTTAGGAACCCGCGGTCGGAGATGGGCAGGGCCTGGGTGACGCAAGAGGCGGGGCTAAGTCCTGTCGCTCCCGGCCAGCGCGACGCTGGGCATGTCCTCGCGTGAGCGCTGTTGGCTAAACAACAACATCAGCACATCTGCCGGGCGTTATGAGGTCCCTGCTTCGCGGTCCGGCGATGAACGATGAGGAAGAGAACTCGGACAGTACCCCGCTCCTGCCGAGCGCCCGGCAGGCCGAAGCGGGTGAGCGGCTGGACCACCACGGGGCTGCTAGCGGTAGCGTTCCGGGCGGCGGGTGGCTCCCGGCCGTGGGCGCCTCGAGGGAGTGGCTGCGGGCTGAGGGGACAAATGCAGCCACCAGAATCGGCCGGAGCTGCCTGCGCTGGCTGGTGGGGGCTGAAGTACTTCGGGGTCGGGGGTATCCTCCGAGTCAATCAATGAGATATGAGCCAAAGTGTCGCTCACTCTTCCCCAGTGACCGCCAGGTTTCCGCTCATGCTAGTCTGCAAGCATGTGATCAGGTAGCTCCTTGGGCAGGGAGGAGACACAATACCAGGAAAATAATAACAACAATAACAACATCAACAGCTGTTGAGTGTGCGTAGGACAATTGCAAAATCCCGCGAATATCTTGACTTAGTGCTGTAGGAGACTAAAAATTATTGCAGACATTTCCATGTTTCTTCGTCTCTCAGACTACAGTTTAAGTTAAGAAACAGATTATTCTCAAGATGGCTATCTGAAGCGTGATAAGATAATGTGCCAGAGGTCTTGCAGTGGTGCTTCAAAGAGCATCTTCCCTGACTGGGGCCCAGTGGTGGAGTTTTTGCCCGGCAAGGTTCTGGCATCCATACCTACCCAAAACACCAGTGTCTTCACTGGATTTTAATACACTTTTTGCAATGTAGCTTCTTGAAGCTGCTGAAAACTAAAGGCTTGCACACTTGAACTGGAAATTTGCCTTTGTTAACCACGAACAGTCTTCCGTGGGGTTATGTCTTTTGTGAACATTACCAAAGGATTCTTTCGTAACTGCTTTAACCATAAGCAGATAGGTACTCTCCCTATTTGTGTGTGCAACTACCCTACTATGATTATTTTCTGACTTAGTGCAGACAGTTTTGTTGTTTTCTCGGTGATTTTGTTTTGGTTTTGTTTTATTTTTAGAGTAATGTGTTTGGGGACTGGAGAGATGGCTCAGCAGTTAGAGCACTGGCTGCCCTTCCAGAGGCCCTGGGTTCAATTCCCAGCACCCACATGGAAGCTCACAGCCACCCATAATCCCAGCTCCAGGGGATCCAGCACCCGCCTGAGGCCTCCATAGGCACCAGGAGTGCATGTGGTACACAGACATACATACGATCAAAATATTCATATATATTAAAAAATAAGAAAGAATGCTTTCTTTTCTAAAGTTTAAGGCAGCAGTTTAGTCTAGGACTTCATTTTTTGTTTGTTCATTTGGTTGGTTGGTTTTCCTCGAATCAGAGTCTTATGTAGCCCAATCTGACTTCTAATGACTACGTAGCCGAGAGTTTCTTTGTATTCCTGATCCTCCTGTTTCCATCTCCTGAATACATGCTAAGTAAGCACTCTACCCACTGAGCTACACCTCCTACTCCTTTGAGTTTCTTCTTGGATTAGAGTCGAAGTTTGGAAATTTTATCATCTTGCCATCCATCGCTGTATAGATTCTCTTTCCCCATGCCTTGTCATCACGTCCATCTTGGTGCCAACCGCCTACACCACAGAAACACAGCTTACACACAAGACAGGTACTTCTGCCAGCTTTGTATGGCAGTCTACCTTCTCAGCAGTCCCCTCCCTTCCACTAGCAGCCTCATGCCCCATGTCACTTAATTTCCCACAAATGAAAACTAATCACATATATAATCTTAATATATGAGCTAGATTTCCAGGATCCAGAGAAGGCAATGATGACAGTTCAGCTGCTGAAGTTACTGTGTGCTGAGTAGCGCTGAGTAGTTTGCAGTTCATCTTCACAATGTCTGTATCAAGCACAATACAGTAAACAGCCAGTAACATTAGCTATATTAGTAAACACAGTGCCCACTCCCACTCAGTAAGTAGTATTAGTTCCAAGACTTGGTTTGGGTGAAGGCCTTAAGTTCTCCCTGCATGTCTCTCATTTCCTTGCTTCTGCACATCCTATTGCTTTTGCTGGGATGGCTGTACTCCAGCCAAATATCCCTCTTCCAGCCAGGTGATAGTGATACACACCTTTAACCTCAGCACTGGGGAGACAGAGGCAGGAGGATCTCTGTAAATTCCAGGCCAGCCTGATCTATAGAGTGAGTTCTGGGACAGCCAGAACTGTTACACAGAGAAACCCTGTCTTGAGAATCAAAAAACAAACAACAACAAAAATCCCTCTACAACACAGACTATTTCCCTGGCTTCCTCCTTTCTCACTTATATAGGTATGCAGCACTTTATTAGAAAAGCTTTCTCAGGAGTGAGGGTGAGGATTAAGTGAGTGTGTCCTGTGATTTTCTGTGGTAATTAATCCCCACACACACACATACACACAGTCAGCACATGGTAAGAGGCTTGACCATCAGAAGAGGTAAGAATTTTTTTTCTTTAAATAGAAGCAGAAGAATCCATGACCTTAACTGAAAGAGTAGGAATAATCATGGGTTCCAGTCAGTCCTCTGACACAAAGAAAGAACTTTGTACTATTATTGAAACATTTGTTAAGACCTGGATGAGCATAAGCCTTTAATCTAGCAAAGGTAGGTGGATCTCCGTGAGTTCAGCCTGGTCTTCAAAGATAGTTTCAGGACAGGCTTCAAAGCTACATACAGAAACCTTGTCTCGAAAAACCAAATAAACAAACAATGAGGGGCCTGGTGAAATGGGTCAGTGTTTAAGAGCACTGGCTGATCTTCCAGAAGACCTGGTTTTGGTTCGCAGAACCCACATGGAAGCTCACAACTGACTGTTACTCCAGTCAGGGAATCTAATGCCTTCACATAGATATACATTTAGGTAAAACAACAATCCACAGAATGAATGAATGAATAAATAAATAAATAAATAAAGCCACCCAGAGGAAAAAAATATCAAGAGCAAGAGCTCTGCAACTTTGTACAAGTAGTTGTAAAATTTAATCCTTGGTTTCCTGACCATGTAACTATTGATGTTAATACTGGAAGTATGTGGGAACTAAAGGGAGATAAGATCTCTGTCAATTATTTTTCAAGTGAGAGTACATTAATAATGTATTATTGGACCTTCTCAGGAGGATTATTACAGAGAGAAAGAAACAGAAACAAAAGAACATTTTCTGCCAGGACATATCTTGGCAGATATTAGCAGGGTAGGTCTAATGGGCTTCCTTAGCAGATCAGGCTTCACCCAGTTATATAACTTTTGGGGTTTATCCTCCCAAGCCCTGGGATGAAACTCAAAGCCCTCTGGCCTGGCTGCCCTGCTGCCCTTCCTGCCACCCTGGTCTGACAGAGCTTGGAGCAGCTTGGGGCAACACCTGAGTTCCAAGGAATGGGATCGAGAGAGGATCTCTCCAGTGATCTAGGCTACCCCAAAGGTGTTCAGTTTGGGTTTGGGTTTTGAGTGGATTGTTTGTTTGGTTTTGGTTTTTGGTTTTTGAAGACAGGATCTCACTATGAAGTTCTGGCTGTTCTGGAACTTACTCTGTAGACCAGGCCAGCATCTAACTCACAAAGATTCACTTGCCTCTGCCTCCTGAGCGCTGGCATCAAAGGTGTGCACCACTACTGCCTGGCTCCAGATGGCTCTTCAAAAGAACAGGGAGCATATGTTTTATATTCAACGTGCTTCACAAAAAAAAAAAAAAAAAAAAAAGATTATAACCACTCTGGTCATACAGCTCAACGGTCTCAACAGTCTGGACTTGCTGTAATTAATCAGCTTTTACTGGCAGTTTCTCAGCCATTGACTGTTTTAACTGGCCTCCTGTAAACTAGCACAGGAAGGCTGGCCATGCACTGAGAATGGGAACCAGCCTAAGGAGAACAAAGGAATGTTGCAGAAGAACTGTGAATGTGGACAGAATGTAATGGGAAGTGGGAAACATTTGGAATGAGGTCCTCAAGGATGGAGTCTAGTTAACAGAAAATGGGGTCTGATGGGACATGAGTAGCTTGGAGACAGAAGTGGAAGAGACAGAAATGGGGAAAGAGGTCTCTGGAAGACACAAGCAGGAAACGCCTGCCTGGGAGGAAAGCCAGAACAGCTATGGCTGTTGCTGGTAGAAGGGCAGCAGTGAGTGTTACTAAGACTACAGGTGCTTTCCCCACTGATGCCTGGTCAAATTATAAATCCATCCAGTGCTTCACTCACAGCATAAGCAAAATAAGGAATTTTATCTCATTCTTTACATCAAAAGTAGACACACACACACACACACTCACACACGCACAGGGTTCCACTGTGTAGCCCTGGCTGTCATAGACTCTTTCTATAGACATGGCTGGGCTTGAACTCAGAGATTCCCCACTTGACTCTGCCTCCCAGTGCTGGGTATAAAAGACTGAGCTACTAGACCTTGCTTAAAATGTCAGACATGCTGTAGCATCTTTTGTTTGTTTGCTTGCTTGTCTGTTTGTTTTGTTTTTGTTTTTTGAAACAGGGTTTCTCTGTATAACAGTCCTGGCTGTCCTGAAACTCACTTTGTAGACCAAGCTGGGCTCAAACTCACTGAGATCCACCTGCCTCAGCCTCTCATGTTCTAGGATTAAAGGCGTGCACCTCCACTGCCCGAGTGGCATGGTTTTGTTGTTTGTTGGTTTGTTGGTTGGTGTTTTTAAACAGGGTCTTTACATAGCCATGGCTGTCCTGGAACTCAGAGATTCATTCACCTGTCCCTGCCTCACTAGTACTGGGATTAAAAATAATTCCTCCACATCTGGCATGAGTGTTTCACATTTCAGGCCTTTTACTCATGGAGAAACCAAACCACCTAGATTCCTGTGTTTATGATTACTACAATTTCATTTTTTTTTGTTTTGCTTTGTTTGTTTTTGTTTGTATTTTTGTACAACATTACAAAAAAATTAAAAATAACGATATAAACAGGCTTAGAATAGATTTAGGAAGGAACACAGGAGTAAATTGTGAGGACTGGCCTCCAGAAGCTCAGGGTTTGAGGGCTATCACTCAGGTTCAGAGGACTATCACTCACTCAACTTAGAAGGGGTGATATAGGGGGCAGGATGTTTTTGTGCCCACAGATAAGCACTAAGAAAACCAGGATTATTAAACATGCAGGGTTGTCTCTTCAATGGAAGAAGTGTATAACCTGTTTCTCCAGAAGTTAATAGCCTGATGACCTATGCTATCTGTAGGACCAGGCCACACCTGGGCTTTATGTTTTTCAGGCACTCTTTCTCCCTAGGCCTTTATCTTGAACATTTTTCCCAATTAGTAGAACCCATCTTGGGGCTGGAAAGATGGCTCAGAGGTTAAGAGTACTGGCTGCTCTTCCAGAGGTGCTGAGTTTAATCTCAGCAACCACAGTGTGGCTCACAAATATTTGTAATGAGATCTGGTGCCCTCTTCTGACCTGCAGGCATTCATAGAGGAAGAATATTATATACATAATAAATAAATCTTAAAAAAAGAACCCATCTTTATGGAGCAGAGACGCCCCACAGATAGTGCTCTTGCTTTTTTAGAATTAAAAACTTTGAGAATGTAAAGGTTGTTAATTTCATTTATTTCATCTAAATAACTCTGTAAACATATGACCAGACCTGAGAGTCGGTTGTGGGTCTCTTTCATTGTTAGCCTTTGTTCTCTGCTATACCCATTCCACATTCCTGTGTTTATAAAGTGCATTTTAGAGACTGGTTTTTTTTTTTTTTGATGAGTGATGTGCTCCTTACACAAGAATGATTTTGCTTTGAACTCAGTATGGTGGGTAGCCAGTGGACCAGCTCTTTCTGCCATGCAAGCTTGTTTTACCTTGGATTAGTTTCAAAGAGTATCCAAATCATAGTCATGTTTTACTTTAAAAAAAATTTGACTAAATAGATTTATAGTCACAACCATTATCATAGACCTGGCACCAATTTATTTTTAATATAACTTTGTTTGTTTTGTTTTGTTTTTGGAGACAGGGTTTCTCTGTGTAACCACTCTGGCTGTTCTGAAACTCACTCTGTAGACCAAGTTGGCCTCACACAGAAATCCACCTGTCTCTACCTTCTGAGTGCTGGAACTAAAGGCACTGCCCAGCTTAGAATAACTTTTAAAACTTTGTAGTCATGTATTCTATCTTCTGATAATTGACAGTGCTTTAGAAGTGTAAGTTACCTGATCTATAACTTGTTAAGCATCGTCACTAATAATTTTAAATATCTTGCTCACCCTTTGAATTTTTAAAATAATTTTCATTTATATTTATGTGTATGAGTGTTTTGCCTGCATGTATATCTGTTCACTATATGTATAAGTGACCATGCAAGGCAGAAGAGGGCATTGGATTCTCCAGAACTGGACTTTCAGACCATTATGAGACATTATGTGGACGCTGCAAATTCAAACCAAACCCAGTCCTTCTAGAAGAGCAGTCAGTTCTCTTAATCACTGAGCCATCTCTCCAGCCCCTTGCTCACCTTTTTCAAACATTGCTTGCTTGATTGCTTGCTTGATTGATTGATTGTTGGGGATGGGGAATTAGAGGACAGCTTGTGGAAGTTCTCATCATCATTTTTGTTTCATTGACCAAGCAAGCAAGCACCTTACCCACTGAGCCATCCTGCCGGTTCTTTCTCCACCTCCCTGTCACTTCTCAGCCTCTAGATCCACATCTTACATGATAAAATGGCTTGTAAGCCATGTCAATCATGAGGAGAAACAAACAATGTAGAATAAAAGAAAGGAACTATAAAAAAGTTGAGATGGAAAAGAGCGATAAAGTATATTACAGTGCAAATCAAGCATTACCTAAGGAAAAAACTAATTGCATATAATAAAAAAGATAGCTGTGTTTAAAAAAAAATGGGTGGAATAATGATATTACAAGCAAGAGTATCATAAAATAGTTTAGAGCAAGAGGATTGCTAATTACTCATCCCACCCTTTTATTCCCACATCTAGCAATTTGGTCGAGGACTATTACTTTCCCCCTTTAAATTTACTCAGACCTTCCCACTTCTCCAGATTATTTTAAAGTGACACATTTTAATTATCCAAATTTGAGATTAGACTTTTCCATCCAAGCCTAAAAGTGACCATGGAATGTGTTCTGCTGTAGGGTGTACATTTGATTGGAACAAACAGCAAATTGTTCAAATTGAAATGATAGACAGTATGACTAGAGTCTTAGAAATGTGATTCTCATACATTTGTATCTGCCTGTTCTAGTAGCACCAGAAGACTATAGCTATAGCTCTGAGAAAGGGTTCAAGGATACCCAACGACAGGCTCCCTGGTAGCTGGAGCTCAACAAGTGAGAGCATGTCTTGGTTACTCTTCTGTTGCAACTCTTAGAAAAGACAGTTTTTGGGGCTTGCTTATAGTTTTAGAGGGAAAAGTATAGTAATGCTATTAAACCATTACCTATTTTTCTCACACCACATTTTTTAATAGTTTTATTTTTATTTTATGTGCATTGGTGTTTTGCCTGCATATATGTCTGTATAGGTGTCAGATGCCCTAGAACTGGAGTTATAGATAGCTGTGAGCTGCCATGTGGGTGCTGGGAATTGAACAGGGATACTCTAGAAGAACAGTCAGTGCTCTTAAATGCTGAGCCATCTCTCCAGCCCCTCATGCCACATCTTTATCAGCTGAATTTTTACTAAAGCTGTGGGTAAGAGGCATTAAATTGTCTTTGAACAAATCTGTGTAGGCATGCTTAATCCGAAACTATTAAAAAATACTAATTAGCAGTTTGGATATTTTTTTAAGAACTGCCTTTGGGGCAGGAGAGGCAGCAGCACTGACTAGGTAGTTTAAGAGCACTTATTGCTCTTGTAGAGGACTTGGGTTCCATTCCCATCATCCACGTGGTTGCTAACATCTGATTCATATCTCCAATTCCAGGAAATCTGGTACTCTCATCTGGCCTCTGTGGGCACTGGGCACATACAGTGTACAAATATATACAGGCAAAATACTCATTCATAAGTTATAAAAATAAATAAACCTTTGGGACATGGTAGCACATGCCTTTAATCCCAGTGCTCAGGATCTCTTGAGTTCCAGGCCAGCCTAATCTACAGAGCAAGTTCAGGACAGCCAGAACTACACAGAGAACACTTGTATTGAAAAACAAATACATAGATAAATCTTAATTTTTTTTCTTTCATTATTTAGAGACCATCATATAATTTAAAGTTTTCTCCCAATCTTAATTTCAGCTCCAGTATGCTGCTCTGCTCGTTACAACCTATCGATTTTGGCTTTCTTTGGTTTTTTCGTTCTTTATTCATTGCGTGTGAACCTGAGTGTTGCGTTGGTGGACATGGTAGATTCAAATACTACTCTGACCGATAACAGAACTTCCAAGGAGTGTGCAGAACACTCTGCCCCCATAAAAGTACACCACAATCACACGGTAAGTGGTATTTTTTTTTAAAAAAAAAAATTTGATTAGCACTAAAATACTTACAAGTAAAAATAATGAAAAAATATGCTTTTATCAGAAAGAAACCATAATATTTGTTCTGTGTGTATTCTTCCCAGGTTAAGATCTCTCTTTTTTTTTGGGGGGGGGAGTAGGATTGTTAGTTGAACCATTAACTTACAATTATAACTTGCTACCACATACATTTGATCTGTTTGGAAAGTAGCTTTTCAGTTTCCTTGGGTGTTGTAGAACTCAATATGTAGCACTATGTAGACTGGACTTTTCACAGATACCTCTGCCTCCACCTCTGCCTCCTGAGTGATGGCATTAAAGGCATATGTCACCACAGCCCAGCCCAAGCCTATGACTCTTTTTTTTAACCTTCTCAGTCAGGTTGTTAAGGAGCCTTTTCTAGTCTAGTGTCATAGAACGGCACTCTTCTTGAAGTCTATGACTTTCAGTTCTTGTCCACTCACTTCCAGAAACTGCACATTATAGTGGCTCACCTGCCCTCTAGAAGTTTATCTTAGTTAGGTTCCTGTTGCTGTGATAAATATCACAACAAAAAAGCAGCTTGGGGAGGGAAGCGTTTAATCATCTTACAGCTTACAGTCTGTCATGAAGGGAAGTCAGTACAGGAACTCAGGGCAGGAAGCTGGATGCAGGAACTGAAGCAGGAGCATTATTTGCCGGAATCTTCCCATGACCTGCTCAGCTTGCTCTGTATAGCCCAGGACCACCTATCTGTAGTAGCCTAGGCCCTCTAACCTCAGTCATCAATCAAGAAAAGACCACAGACTCGCCTACAGGACAATCTGATGGCAGTATTGTCTTCATTGAGGTTCCCTCTTCCCTTCCCAGATGACCAAAAGAATTGACAAAAAAAGAAAAAAAAAAAAAAAAAAAAATCAGCCAGCACAGATTGCATGTTGTAAAGTCCAAAACAATAGTTCAAAATTCACCTGCTTTTTTTTTCTTCTTCAGGGTAAAAAGTACCAGTGGGATGCTGAAACTCAAGGATGGATTCTTGGCTCCTTTTTTTACGGCTACATCATCACACAGATTCCTGGGGGTTACATTGCCAGCAGAATCGGAGGCAAGCTGCTGCTGGGCATTGGTGTCCTGGGCACTGCTGTCCTCACCCTGTTCACACCCATGGCTACAGACTTAGGAGTGGTTGCCCTTATCGTGCTGAGAGCACTGGAAGGACTAGGAGAGGTAAACAATTTTTGTTCTTGTTTATCTTTTCTTTTTTTGGTTTTTCGAGACAGGGTTTCTCTGTGTAACAGCTCTGGCTGTCCTAGAACTAGTTCTGTAGACTATGCTGGCCTTGAACTCACAGAGATCTGCCTGCCTCTGTCTCCCTAGTGATGGGATTAAAGGCATGCACCACCACTGCCAGACATCCTCTTATTCTTTATCTCCTCCTTACTCCTGGTCTTTTAAAAGATTTGTGTATTTTTATTTTATATGTATGTGTCTTATCTGCATGTACATGTGTACATGATGGGAACACAAGTGCCTGCAGAAACCAGAAGAAGGTGTCAGATCTCCTGGAACTGGATTACAATGGCTACAAGCCACTAAGTGGGTATTGGAAAACAAACCTTGGTCCTCTGCAATAGCAGCCAGTGCCCTTAACCACTGAGTCATCTCCAGTTGAGAGGACATTTTCAAAAGAGACAGATGCTCATACTTCGAAGGTAGGGAAATAAACCCATCAGAAGGCTGGAGAGATGGCTCAAAGGTTAATAGCACAGGTTATTCTTCTGAGGTCCTGAATTCAATTCCCAGCAACTACATGGTGGTTCACAGCCATCTATAATGAGATCTGGTGCCCTCTTTCTGGAGTGCAGGCATACATGCAGGCAGAAGACTGCATGCATAATAAATCAATAAATCTTTTAAAATAAACGAACAAATAAATAGATAAGCAAATCCTGTCACCATGGCTATGATGGCCCACACATACATACATTTTGGCACTTTTAAAAAAGACTTACTGTCTCTGTGTGTCTGTGTGCTCATGAGTAGTGCAGTGTCTTTGGAGACTAGCAGAAGGTACTGAATTCTTCGAACTGGAAAAGAGCAATTGTGAGTCACTTTATTGATGCTGGAACTGAATTCATGTCCTCTGGAAGGACGGCCAGTGCTCTTAATATCCTGAGCCCTGTTTTGACACATTTTACAAAACATGTTAAATTGCCTTCTTTTACTAATTGGTATTTATAGAACTTCCTCTTGATCATTAGTTTATTTGTTTTTCAGTCTTGTAACTTAGAAGCAAATAATTTATTATTTTTTTATCTAACTATACCAATTTACTTCTAGGATTCTGCTAAACTTTTATGCCCACAGCCCCATTTAAAGATCCCTTAATTTCTGTCTTTCTTTTCCTCTCCACGCTTCATTTGTATCTCTCCATCTTGAATAATGAATGGTCTTCAGGCTGGTGAGCTCTCAGTGATTAAGAGCCTTAACTCCAGCATAAGCAAGCTTCTAGGTCTGCATAGCTCATAGAGACTGGGGGATAGCATCGCACAGCAGTGCACTGGAGAGGACGTTAGAGGGAAGCCTTGGGACAGTAGTTCCACTGTCACAGTAAAGCATCCAGTAAATCTTCATCTCAAGTCCTCAGTTTCATATTTTAGTACTTGAGACTTAAGTACCTGCCCATCCTCAGTTACAGGAATGTTACACAGCTTACATGTGATGAAATTTGCTCGAAGGCTTTAGAGATGTCCAGGCCCTAATTTTATTTTGTTTTTGGCTTTTGTGAGACAAGGTCTTTCTATGTAGCTCTGTCTGTCTGGAATACACTATGTAGACCAGGCTGGCATGAAACTCACAGAGATCCTCCTGCTTCTGCCTCCCAAGTGCTGGGATTAAAGGTATGCACCACCAGCAACAGCTTAAATTTTTGTTAGTAGTTTGCATGTTCTTATCAGCCATATCCAAGTAGTAGTCCTTATAGACATCTATTAAATAATTCTTTTCTGGTTACAAAATAAATACTTTCAGCTTCTATCAGCTCCCAGGTTTATTTGTTGGGTTATATATTAATTTGTAGTCTGTTGCTTCTGATCCAGTTCCTATATCTCTTTGCTGAACTATTCTTCTAGTGTAGCTTCTTGTCTGGGGACATTTAACATTGTAGGCTGTTGTTTCTACTGCTATCCCAGATGGCCCTATAGCTTTTAATAGAATTTAAATGGTGTCTCTCATCTTCTACCATCCTTTCTGTACATTATGTACACCTCATCCATAAAGCTAGGTCAGCAACTTTTATCTTTTCTGTCTGATTTTGAAGCTGCCTTGTATTTCATCAGAAATATCCACCCCCAGGGTGTTACGTTTCCAGCTATGCATGCCATGTGGTCTTCCTGGGCCCCACCTCTTGAAAGAAGCAAGCTGCTTACCATTTCCTACGCAGGTAAGATAACTCTCCTTACAAAGCTTTTGCTGTAATTTGATGCATATGTACCAGTCTTGAGGCACATATCTGCATGCCAGATCATTCAGTGTAGGTAGATGCCTCTTCCTGGGAGAAATAACCTTACTATCAGTTTTTCTCTTTGGCCCAGAAAGAGAATAATGTTCCACGATTGACTGATACCATTTCCTCTGCCTGTTGTCATTTATCTCAAAACATGTTGCCTTTTCAGAAGTTGCAATTTATAAAATAGTTCCACAGCTGGAAAGAAAAATTATTGGTTTTGTTCCTTAATTGTGATTTTGTTATTATTGTTGTTGTTTGGTCATTTGGTTTTGAGTCATTTGTTTTATAGTTGGTTTATTTCTTTGGAGACAGGGTTTCACTATATATTCTTGGCTGGCCTGGGACTTGCTATGTAGACCAAGCTACCCTTGATCAGATAGAGATCTGCTTTCTTCTGCTTCCCAAGTCTTGGGACTAAAGGCATGTGCCACCACGCCCAGCAAGATTTATTTCATTTTTAATTCCAGGGTGTGTGTGTGTGTGTGTGTGTGTGTGTGTGTGTGTGTGCCCGTGCGTGCGCGCGCGCGCGCGTGTGTGCATGCGTGCATGAGTACAGCTGCCCACAAAGGCATCCCCTAGAGCTGGAGTTACAGGCAGTTGGGAGCTACCTGGTGTGGTCACTAGGAGTTGAATTCAGTTGGAAAAAAAAAAAGAAATGTGTGTGTGTGTGTGTGTGTGTGTGTGTGTGTGTGTGTGTGTGTGTATGTATATGTATGTATTTTATGTGCATTGGTGTTTCGCCATGGGTGTTGGGTTCCCTGAAACTGGAGTTACAAGACAGTTGTGAGGAGATAAACCACTCCAGAGCTGGTTTCAGGGAACAGAATCTACTGTATTGCACATGAGCAACCACTGATATATTGGAAGCCTATGGACCATGACTGGTTAGCACATTTCCTCGGATCAGAGAGTGAGTGCTCACACCACCAAGGAGATGTGGAGAGTGCAGACAGGTACTCAGTGGCCACGCAATCTATTTTTCATGCTTTATCTCTGCCCCTTCCTTTTACCCAGTGATGCTCCAAAGGCATTGTCTGCTCTCCTGTCCTCAGTCCTTCATTCAGCCTATTACTACTTCCTGCCCTGGTTTTGTTCTTGGTTTTGGTTTTTGAGACAGGGTTTCTCTGTGTAACCCTGGCTGTCCTAGAACTCACTCTGTAGACCAGGCTGTCCTCAAGCTCACTTAGATCCACCTGTCTCTGTCTCCTGTGTTCTGGGATCAAAGGTGTGTGCCACTGCCCCCAACTATCACCACTTCCTTATTGCCTTTCTTAGTTTCTCTGGGACTGAATCTCAGCCATCTTTTCAAAGTATGGTTGCTGCTCTGTGTATCTTTCCCTCACTTCAGGAGGTTAGAACTAACTCTCATGTTTGAACTCGGCATTGCTCTGTGGCTCTTATACTTCCTAATATAGAATAGTTGTTGGTTTATATCAGTCTGCTACCGATGATCAACATATGGGATCAGAAGTAATGTCTAAAACAGATTATGGTGACATGTGTCTGTAATTCCCATACTTCAGAAGTGGAGGCAGGAAGATTAGAAGTGCCAGGTCATCCTTAGCTGTCCTAGACTGAGACCCTGACTTTAAAAGTAAATAAATTTTATCTAGCCAAGCACAGTAGTTGATACCTGTAATCAGCACCTGGAAAGATGAGGCAAGAGCATTTTTGTAGTAGTTTGAGGCAAGCCTGAGCTATGTAGTGAGTTCAAGAACAGCCTAGGCTACAGGGTACAATCCTGTCCCAGTTTAAAAAAAAAAAATAAAAAAAAAAAAAAAAACAGACTATCTTTAGCTCCTGTCACATTTAACTAAAATGTCTTCAATTTTCTGGTTAAAATGTATTATTTATAAAAGTCATTTATAGTATATAAAATTATGAAAAGCCTCACTCTTATTTCAGCAAGCGTGCCCATACCACTGGCCTATGTCAGCCTCTCTAGGCTGGGGTTGCAGTGTGTACCACTATGCTGCATAGCTCCCAAACTGATTGGTACTTCCTATTCATCACTATTTGCTTAGTTGTAACTTACATAACTGCACTTGTGTGTGTGTGTGTGTGTGTAAATGTATATGTATATGCTTTACATTTTCTCTAGAACATGATCCTGTAGGAGCATGCTGGATTTTCTCTTCACATGAAGCTGCTTTTAATTCCATCATTCTTTCTGTCCTGTATCCTGTTCCCCACCCTTAAACAGTAGACCTTTTGTTTGTTCACCTTCTGTGTTGACCTAGGAGCACAGCTTGGGACAGTAATCTCACTTCCTCTCTCTGGAATAATTTGCTACTATATGAATTGGACTTACGTCTTCTATCTTTTTGGTAAGTATACAATTTTAACTAAGTTATAATGCAAATTCAAAGTGCAATAGTAGTTGGTTACATTTAAATGTGATTCTGTCCTCCCAACTTTCTAACTTAAAGATTTCATAACTGAATGTAGGAGTTCCTAAAACCTTAGTAAAAGATTTCTGAACATACAGTGTGACCAAATGTCAAACATGTAAGGACTCTGAAGTTCTGACAGCACTAGCCCATGGTGTGTCAAGTGACTTCACTGCAGCCTAGGTTCCACACAATACTGGTAAAGGCTGCCTGAAACACCTCAGATTCAAGAGCATTGTGTGTTATGAACTGTAATGTTTTCACTGTGCATTCAGAGCCTTCGGCTGTTCTGGAAACATGATAGTTACTGTGGAAAATAAAGGACAGTCTTCTACTGTAATTCTTCAGCATGTATCATATCAAATCACTATATCTTTGGATTGGATTGAAGTGTTTGATTTTAAGACTTAGTGAGTTAAGATTCATAGAAAGAAACATTCAGTGAGTTTTGGCTTCAAACTTCAAAGAGAATTTCAATTTTTTCTTTTTTATTTTTCTCTTTTTCTTTTCTCCTTTTCTTTTCTTTTTTTTTTTTTTTTTTTTTTTTTTTTTTAAGACTGTGTTTCTCTGTGTAACATGTGTAACAGCCCTGGCTGTCCTGGAACTCTGTAACAGCCCTGTCTGTCCTGGAACTCACTCTGTAGACCAGGCTTGTCTTGAACTCACAGAGATCCACCTGCCTCTGCCTCCTGAGTGAAGGAACTAAAGGCATGAGCCACCACACCCATCCCTGACAATTTTTGGAATGGCCCTCAGTGTGCTTCTGCATTTTATACTAACCCATGCACACAGTGTTCTCAGAGTCAGCCTTCACAAGATAAAGGCAGCTCAGAACAACCTTGAGGATGCTCTGCATACTGCAAGTCTGCAAGTTCGAAGTAGTTACCCAGTATTTAACACTTTATGTGTCTCGCTATATAAATTATCTTGTATCTTTCATAAGTAGTAAAATTATATGAGTAATAGAACTTAAATTCCTTTTGTTATAAGTAAATATTTTATTTGTCTAATGCTTTTATATACTCGTATACACAGAGTTGTATAAAAATTTCTCAGAAGGTTTGAGGTGGTGGTGGCTCACGCCTTTAATCGTAGCACTTGGGACACAGAGACAGGTGGATCTCTTCGAGTTCAAGGCCAGTCTGGTTTACAAAGTTAGTTCCAGGACAGGCTCCAATACCACAGGGGGAAAAAAATTCTTAGAAGGAAAGGGGCCATAAGTAGGAGCTAAAGAAGCCCTACTGTTACTCATTGAAAGCCTCACTGCCCAAACCAGTGTTCTAAACACTGAAAACCTGTTTCCCAGGTTGTTAAAGTCGATAGGGTCTAGCCCTGTTTGACCTGTTAGCTTTGCATGTGCTTCAGAAGAAACTAATGTTGAATCCTGGACTTTAGTGTCACACTGTGAAAAGTCACTATTTGGGAGTTATGAAATTGCATGTTTTTGAAAATATTTTTCAAGCAAAATAGAGTGGTTCTTGCCTCAGGGATTTAATCCTTTTCCTTTCCCTTAGTGTGAAGGCATTTCATTTCTCAGACTGATTGACAGAATCATAGGAAATAGGCCTTTAAAATGAATGACTGTGTGTGTGTGTGTGTGTGTGTGTGTGTGTGTGTGTGTTACAGAAATTTATTCTTGAATAAAGACAAAATATAGATTTAATATTTGAACATCAGGGCATGGGAAGAAACAGCTTTCTTTTCTGGATTATGAAAATGTTCTGGAATTAAGTATATTAGCAAAATGAAACAAGTATATATAAAAAAAATTGTTCTGAGCCAAGAATGGCAGTAGTGGCACTTTGGATCTCCAAACAAAAGTGTATAGCCCCTGATTGGCAGAGTATTGTGATTGAGGTATCTTATCAGACTGTATTTGAGACTCATGGTCATACATACCTGTCATCACAGCAATTGAGGCAGGAGAATTACCTTATGTTTAGCCTGGGCTTCATAGTGGATACCAAGCCAGCAAGATCACTGTCTCAATCATTCCCCCAAGTGCTTAGAGAATAGTAGTTACTATTCCATTGAAGATCTGAAGCTTGAAACTAAATCTAATTTTACATTTTTTATAGATGTATAATCTTCTCAAGATGTGTACAAAATGCTGTTGATATATTCAAATTTAACTATCATCTTTCTATTTTAAGGTGTAATTGGAATAGTTTGGTTTATTTTATGGATGTGGATAGTCAGTGACACACCAGAAACTCATAAGACAATATCCCATTATGAAAAAGAATACATTGTATCATCATTAAAAAACCAGGTATGGACTTTGACACATGTTAAAAATTAAGATAACCTTTGAAATAGATCTCACTGTTGTTGCACATGCCTTAAGCAAATTAGAATGAGCAAATGAAATAAATGTCTAAAATAGGGTCTGAAAAATGTCTAAGATTAATTTCTTCTCATGGTCATTCTGGGAACGAAGGGCATGGGTTAGTAGTGGAACACAAACATGTGTGAGTCCAGTAGATGAAACTGAGGATAGACAAAGAGGTGCCATTACTAGCCCCCTTGAATTGCGGAATTCTTCCTATGTGACTATCCAGCATACTCCGGGACCAACCCATTTATTAACTATTAATGATTTAAACTTGGCGGTGGTGGTGCATGCCTTTAATCCCAGCACTTGGGAGGCAGAGGCAGGTGGATCTCTTTGAGTTCAAGCTCAGTCTGTTCTACAAAGTGAGTTCCAGGAGAGCTAGGGCTGTTCCACAGAGAAACCCTTTTTCAAAAACAAACAAAAACCAACAGGCACAAATATATTAATAATTTAATGTCTGTTTCAGAATAAAACTGAGCATAAATAGAGATTCTCATGTCTTTTAAATTAAAATTTACTTTTTTTTTTTTTCCTTTCGGTTTTTCGAGACAGGGTTTCTCTGTATTGCTTTGGAGCCTATCCTGGAACTAGTTCTGTAGACCAGGCCAGCCTTGGAACTCACAGAGATCTGCCTGCCTCTGCCTCCTGAGTTCTGGGATTAAATAAAATTTACTTTTATATTTTTAAATTATGTATTGTCTTTATGTCAATACGTGCATGAGTGCAGTTACCCTCGAAGGCCAGAGGTGTCAGGTCCCCTGGAGTTACAGAATAGTGTAAGCCACCCTGAGTGGATGCTGGAGACCAAACTCAGGTCCTCTGCAAGATAAGTATGCAGTCTTAACTGCTAAACCTTTTCTCCAACCTTCTCCTATGGCTTCCCTCAATACCCCTGCTCAGAAGGTCACATTTACAAAGAGCTATCACCCGCAGTTTTCCCACCAGCCTGGCCCCACAGCCGCATCAGTACCAAATAACACACAGAGACGCTGTATTAGATATAATGCTGTTGGCCTGTTACTAGAGTTTCTTATTGGCTAGCTCTGTCTTAAATATTAACCCATTTCTATTAATCTAAGTGTTTCCATGTGGTCTTATCTTACCTGAGAGAGGGTCCAGACCTCTTCTAAAGTCTTTACATCTTGAATCTCCTCTACTACATCTCCCAGACTCCTCCTTGTCTCCTAGTCCTGCCTAGTCTTGCTTTCCTATTGGCCAACAGAGATTTATTCATTAACCAATAAGAGAAACATTTACAGAATGACATCTCCCATCACCTCCTCTTTTCTGTTTAAATAAGAAGGATTTTAACTTTAACATAGTAAAAATATATAACAAAACAGTTATCAAATAAGAATTATTGTTAACAATATTTAGTCCATTAACATTTAGCAAGATTTAAAGAAAATATTCCATCATCTAGCCTATCTTTGTGAGTCTAAAGTCTTATATGTAACTTATTTTTAATCCTAACTAAGGAAAACTGTAACCATAACTATCTGTCTTCAACTCCTTCAAAGACCACAGAAGGATAGTATATAAACTCTAGAAATGACAGAGACAACTCACTGCCTGGTCAGTTACCTGAAGTTCTTCTGTAATGTTTCATCTTCAGCCTATAGGACATAGTGTGTCTTGCAGACTCCTCAGCAAAGCAGGAAACTTTAAACTGTCCACCTGTATTAGCAGTTTGTCAGTCACTTTTCTCTGAGTCCTACAGAGTGTCTGGCAGACTCTTCCATGAAGCAGGAACCCTGTAGCATGTCCATCTTGTATCAGCAGTCACTTTTCTGTGGGTCCTGTATGTCCAGTTTATACAGCATGAAGTCAAATAGTCCAGACAAGAGAAGAATCTTGCCCAAATGGTTAGTTTTGCCATATTGGAAGCAAACTTCATAAGGAGTTTTTCCCATGTCCATCTTCCTTTCTGACACAGGTGCTGTTGTCAGGAGCAGTTGTGCCTCACTGTTAAGAAAAACCCTAAACCATTTTAAAGCCATATTCTGTAGATCTTTGAAGAATGCCTATCCATTTGAAATATATCTCTGTATATCTAGAAAACTAACAAACTTAACTATAAATTTTGACTATATGGGTAACTATCTATAGTCTGTACTAATTTACATATTACATTTTTAAATAAGCTATATAAACAATACCTAAACAAAAGGAGAAATATACTATCACAAAAATTGTATCAATAAATTTGTATCAAATGAAAATCCATTTTTTTAAAAAAAAGTATTCATTTCTACACCATAATCCCCTTTTTACCTTTAAAAAGAGATTGGATGTGATCATTAACCATTTATAACCAACCCCATTTAAATGAAAATAAATATTTATAAACAATATTTGGGAATTTGGGCATCGTTCTTTCCAAAGTACTTCCTCCTGGTAGGGGGCGCTGTTTTGGGAATTCATAAGAGGACTCAGAAATCCTGGCTGTAGTGATTTGCAAGACTGCCTTGTCCCAGCTGTTTTGAACGTTGGATCACTGTTTCAGGGGGTGTTTCTTGATCAAACCATATTAGTCTGGAAGGAATCCATACCTTTTCATTTTCTGTGGAAACAAAAATAGAAAATCTTTTCCCCAGTAACATGTCCTTAGACTTAAATTTTGAAATCAAAGCATTTTGAAAATATATAAATTGGATTAATTCAGGAGCATTGATAATCAAGTGTATTTTAATAGTTGTTCCTTCCTTAACAATTGAGCAATTCAAAGACAACACAATAACATACAGATTCCAGACTCTGTGTAGTTTCGGTTTTTACGTGGCTTTTTTATTACTGTTTCTTTTACTTCTATTTTTTCATTTATTGAGACAGGTTTCTCTGTGTAACTTTGGCTGCCCTGGAATTCACTGTACACCAGGTTCACTTTGAAATCACAGAGATCTGCTTGTGCTCTGCCTCACATGTGCTGGAATTAAAGGAGTGTGCTACCCCACTCAGCTACTCTCTTTTTATTTTTTTAAACCACTTTATCCTGTTTCTTTTTCTTTCCCAAGCCTACATTATTTTAAAACACACTTGTAAACCTTTAGAGGTTTTTCTTTATCTTAGTTAAACAACAACATTACTAAAATGAAAGCCATGGCTGTTTTAGCCACCATCTATCCAAGATGGTGGAGTATGTTTACTGCCATCACTGAGAGCTGTGTTCACCACCTTGGTCTATGCTGCCATCAAGCAGCATATTGCCAGCTTGGAGATATGGTCACTGACACTTCCAGCTCTTGTTGTACACACCATTCAGTTGTTAGCAGGGTCTCTTAAAAAAAAAAAAAAAAAAAAAAAAAAAAGAGCCATGCTGTTTTTTGCAACTTATGCTTAAAGGAGCCACGCAAACCTCTGCTTATCTCTAGCAAAACAGAGCCCAACCGAGGAAAATACTGCTACCAAGAAGCCTTGCTTGTCTGTGTTCTTTTGTTTTAAAATCCCTTTTTAAGCGTTTGTCAAGTTTTAAGTTCTTAGTACCCACGTTGCCACTTTGTTAGGAGCAGTTTTCCCGCCAGCATGGTCCCATAGCCGAGTCAGCCCCAAATAACACAGAGATGCTGTATTAGATACAAAGCTGTTGGCCTGTTACTAGCATTTCTTATTAGCTAGTTCTGTCTTAAATATTAACCCATTTCTATTTTTTGTTTGTTTGTTTTTTTTTCTGATTTTGTTTTTCGAGACAGGGGTTTCTCTGTGGTTTTAGAAGCTGTCCTAGAACTAGCTCTTGTAGACCAGGCTGGTCTTGAACTCACAGAGATACACCTGCCTCTGTCTCCTGAGTGCTGGGACTAAAGGTGTGGGCCACCACTGCCCGGCCAACCCATTTCTATTAATCTAAGTGTTTCCATGTGGTCTTATCTTACCAGAGAGAGGGTCCGGATCTCTTACTCCTCTCACGTCCTACATCTTGACTCTCTTCTACTACATCTCCCAAAATCCTCCTTGTCTCCTAGTCCCACCTATCTTGCTTTCCTATTTGCAAACAGTGCTTTATTCATTAACCAATAAGAGAAACGTTATTTACAGAGTGACATCTTCCATCAGAGGGCTACATAGAAAGCCCTCCCCTGCTTTTCATTCTTCATCCCTGTTTTCATCCCTGAGATGGTAATATTGTCCAGGCTAGGCTCAAACTCCAACCTCAAGACACCCTCCAGCTGAAACCTCCTAACTAGCTGCGGCTGCAGGTGTGCTGAACCACACCCAGTTTGCACTGTTCTTACAGATCTTACAAAAAAAGATTGAATAATGAAATACAGATTCTAATAAGACCATCCAGCCTCGTGTCAGCTTCCAGCTGTGATAACAACAGTGTTCTTATTCATTCATGTTTGTAACCACACTGACACCTGTAGCTTTCATGACAGTCAGAACTCTACTGTGTTTATGTTTCCTCTAAACTCAGTCATAGGTTCTTTAGTTCATATTTTTAATGAGACAACTAAAACTTGTTAGTTGTCTTGCTATTTAGCCTTTCAAAGGAGTTGATTAGAATATACTGGCGCTCTGGGCTGTTTTACCTAATATGGCATGTTTGTGGTTAAGTGTCACCACAGCTGTAGCTCCTCCTAATTTCTCCTGTCTCCTTCAGCTTTCTTCCCAGAAAGTGGTGCCATGGTTGTCCATCTTGAAGTCACTGCCACTTTGGGCAATTGTCGTAGCGCATTTTTCCTACAACTGGACCTTTTACACTTTACTGACGTTATTGCCTACTTACATGAAAGAAATCCTGAGATTCAATGTTCAAGAGGTGAGCAAAAATAGTCTCTGCTTCCTGTGTTTTCAGAACTGCACACACAATTCCTTCTCACCTAAATCAAACTCAGTCATTTCCTTCTGTGCTAACTGGTTATGTCAAAACTTGACATGGGCTAAGGTGTTTGAGAAGTGAGACCCTCACCTGTAAGAATGCCTCCTTAAAGAGAAAGCTGTAGGCAACCTGTGAGGCATTTTCTTAATTAGTGATTGATTGGGCCCAGCCCATTGTGGGTGGTACCATCCCAGGCTGGTGATCCTGGGGGTCTGTAAAAAAGCCATGAGACCAAACCAGTAAGCAGCAGCCCTCCATGGCCCCTGCATCAGCTATTGCTTGCAGGTTGCTACCTGTTCTGCTCCATCCTGAGCAGAGTTTACAGGCATGTGCCATCACACTGACACTATTTTGTGTTTGTTGATTCTGCTGTTTTTCCTTCTTTTTTTTTTTTCGGTATGTTTAAATCTTTTCTTATCATACTATTTCTAGATAGACATTAAACCCAGTGCCTAAAGCATGGCAAGCATGTAGTCTGCCTCTGGGTACCCTCTAAGTCATAGTTCACATCATCTTTTGCCTTGTATTCCTTTACATAAAAGTCCTTCTAGTGCCTAGTAACATGCCAAGAGAGCAGATGACAAACACAGATGCCTGAAGGATCATAGTGGTGGAAGCCAATGAGGTCACACTGGGAGAAGCAAGGTTCTTGGGCACAGGGTACTGTACAGCATTCTTTAGAGTCTGAAGTATTTACTTTATTTCCAATTATGTGTCTGGGGGGAGGGACATACGTGCTTTCATGCAGGTGCCCTAAAGGCCAAAGATACCTAATCCGTCTAGAGCAGGAATTAAGGAGGTTGTGATCTACCCTGACAGAGGTGCGGGGATCAGAACTGAGAGAGCAATGCACCCTCATGACTGCTGAGCTGTTTCTCCAGCCCCAGGAGTAAAGGTGTAGAAAATGAGCCTTCCCTGAAGTTACCCTTTTCTGTGGGTTCCACAGTTAGGGAGAAACGGAAAAATGTTGTCTATGGGGAGATTGAGAAACATAAAGAAGCATAACATAAGGAAGTTTTGATGGTGTTTTTCCTTTAAAGTGGAGGAAAATCTAAAATCTTTAATATAAGCACAAAGATCCCAACAGAGAGAGCTTAAGTGGAGGGCCCACTCAGCAGACAGGCACTTCCAGGCAGGCCTGAGAACCTGACATCAGTCCCCAGATCACACAGTAGGACCACAAAACAGTTGTCCTCCGACCTCCACCTGTGCACTGCAGCACACACATAGGTGTGCACACAAAATAAAATTTTAAAAATGGTAGTTTTGTTTTGGTTTGTGGTGTGGTGTATGTGATTTTTTTCCAGACACTTATACAACAGGCTGGCCTTGAACTCACAGAGATCCTCCTGCAAAAAGAAAAAGAAAAAAAAAAAAAAAAAGACATGAACATTTCTTAAATAACTGAAGACTTCCTTCTAGTTGAGTCAGTACCAAATGAAAGTGTCTAGAGACACACATATTTGGATGATAACGATAACTGCAGATGAGTATCCATAACTGTGCTGGCTTATAGGAAGAGGTAGAGTGGAGACTAGTCTGAACATGGCTTTTGGGTAGCTGGCAATGCTCTACTTGGCATGGATGACTTTCAGATCTCCAGTTTATTAAACCGTGCATTTGATTTTTTTTATTAAAAAAAAGTTAAAATTTTGGAGACTAAAACTGTTCTAGAGCTAGGGGTGGATACATGCTAGGGAGGTGGAGACAGAAATAACAACAGCTTGTTCTGTGTGAAGCAGTGCAGGCTGATTGGAAGGCTTTCCAAATTCAAAGTAGCATCTTTGATGAACAGAACAAACAATACTGTTTCCCCATGAGACCAGCTAGTGCAGGATTGGGTAAACAGATCCCTGCAAATGCCAGATGTACTTTCTGTGATGTATGAACATTACTGACACGTTACACCACCATACAGCTGCTGTTTTCAAGTAGTCGGGGTTGACTGTGACTTGTGCGTTCTACCATAACTAATCCCCAGTCTCCTTTCCCCTTTCAGAATGGGATTTTATCTGCATTGCCTTATTTTGGCTGCTGGCTCTGCATGATTCTCTGTGGACAAGCTGCTGATTATCTAAGGGTCAAGTGGAATTTTTCAACTATAAGTGTTCGGAGAATTTTTAGCCTTGTAGGTAAGTGAGATGAAGGGAGTTTTGTTTTGCTTCCTTGTTATGTTCGTAACACACCAAACCAGTTGCCTCTGATCTCTAAGATGTGAGAGGTCCCTGCATACCAGCTGTTTTACAGTATACGAGCTGGGTATAAGGGATGAGTTCCACAAGACTGCCCTCTTCCTCTTTAGAGGCTAGTCACAAGACCTGGACTGTGACCTACGCTTTTAACTAACTACAAAGCAGGGTTCAATTAATTTGCTAGGCTGACTGTTTCTATCTACTCATTCATTATGAAAGGTACTACAAGGGGCACAGATGCATAGCCAGATAGAGATTGTCAGGACAAGGTCTGTAGGAAGGGCTGTGTGTGAAGCTGCCTCACCATCCCTTTGTAGGTACACCCCTCCTCCCAGTGGGGGCCTCCACTGGAGCTCTGCTGCTTAGAAGCTCAGCTAGACCTCACCCTTGTCCTTTGGTTTTGCTGTTAGTTGGTTATTGCTTTATTTGTTTGTTGACACAGAATCTGACCATGTGTCCAAGCTAGTCTGGAACTCACTGTATAGCTCAGGTGACCTTGAACTCAAAGCAGTCCTCCTGCTTTGACAACCTGAGTGCTGGGATTACAGGCCTGGTTACTGGGTTAAGTAGAATTTCTGAGACAGATTCTCCATGCTGTACCTGAGCCTGGCTTAAAAATTCATGCCCTTCCTGCTCCAACTGTCCAGAGCTAGGATTACAGACCTAGACTACCACACCCGGCTCAAACCTCGTCCTTTTGAGTTTCTGTAGAGGCTTGATTATGCCAGCATGATTAAGTCAGTGGACACTTGTCTATGATCCCAGCACTTGGAAAGTAGAGCCATCAGAATCAGGGGTTCAAGGTCTTCCAGCTTGGGCTACCTGAGACCCTGTCTCAAAATACTGGACAGAAAATACTCTCTTGGACCACTGGTCCCAATGTTACCAGTGATGTTATTAGCAAACAGAAGACAATCTTAATTACTCCAGAAGTTCCAGAGGTGTGAGGACTCTGTGCCAAGAACAGGAGTATAGAGCAAGAATGCATGTTTCTTCATGTCACAGTAAGCCAGAGCAGCAAAATGGAGAATAATCCTTTAACTAGCTCACATGACTTTGTTCTTACAGCCACAACTGCGTGCAAGGCATCTGCCACCCTCTTCTGGCCTGTGCAGGGACCAGAGATACATGCAGCATATACAAAAGAACACAGTTTAAGTAACTTTGGTCTCAGAATGGTGGTATATATCCTTAATCCCAGCACTCGAGAGGCAGAGGCAGGCAGATTGATCTCTGTGAGTTTGAGGCCAGCATGATCTACATAGTAAGATAAGATCCTGTCTATTAAATAAATGTAAAATTGCAGGCTGGAGAGATGGCTCAGCCTTTAAGAGAACTGGCTGCTCTTCCAGAGGACACTAATTCAATTCCCAGCAACCACACGGTGGCTCACAACTGTCTGTAACTCCAGTTCCAGGGAATCCAATGCCCTCTTCTAACCCCACGGACATGATATATACACAGTGCACAGACATACATGCAAGTAAAACACCCATTCTCCTAAAATAAACCTTTTTTGTTTTTCAGTTATACTGTGAAAGGACCCGTTCTAGGTAAATTCTGCAAATACCTGCTGAACACCCACTATAGGAGATGCTTTCCTGTTCAAGTACTGCTTTGACTTTTGCTGCACATCTGTAAATGAAATTTTCTCTTCGGGCTCAGTCCCTGTGTTGTCGTTCCGTCCCTTGTCACTCCCTTCCCCCCACCTGCCCAGTGTAATACATATGCTCTTTGTTACCAATTCTTAGAACCAAGATTGATCACATTTCTGACTTCATCCAATAAAGTTTATTATTTTTCTAAGGGGGGGGTGCACTCACATACCTGCACAAGTTTGTACCACTGCAGAAGTCACTGGATCTTCCTGGAGCTGGAGTTACAGATGGTTGTAAGCCACCCGACATGAGTGCTAGGGACCAAACTCCGGTCCTCCAGAAGAGCAGGAAGCACTCAGCCACTGAGCCATCTCTCTAGCCGCCACCACCACCATAGAGTTTACTGTGTAATTTATCTACTTTGATTATGTGGATTTTATCATACTGTATCAGCTGTTGCTTCTCCCTTAAACCCCATCATTCAGTCTTTCTCCCCTTGGTGGTCAGCTCTGTAGATGTACACTGAGCCCTCATCAGATGCAGAATGAATAGCACTGCAGAGGGAGGATTTCCTTTTCTTATTGCATGAGTTGTCCATGTTGCCTGGCCGGCTTTCTAGTGATGAAAGTAATATAGACCCTTCTGTCTTCCAGGCAGTTCAGTGTTCCTACAGTAGGTGGCACCGCTATCCAACTCAGGTTTGTACAGTTTTAAATAGAACAAAAACAATAATGGTGCTCCTTTTTCTCATTCTACTTTGTAACTCCAGGAATGGTTGGCCCTGCAGTTTTCCTTGTCGCTGCTGGATTTATAGGCTGTGACTATTCCTTGGCTGTTGTATTCCTAACCATATCCACGACACTAGGCGGCTTTGCCTCTTCTGGATTTAGCATCAACCATCTGGATATAGCTCCTTCGTAAGTACAAATACAAAGGTTTGCTGGGTGGTCTTTAATTTCCTTCCTTACTATCATATAAAACATAGATAACATGAAATTTGCCAATTTGGCCATTTTTTAGTACAGTGCTGGTCCAGAAGGGCACGCCACTGCTATGCAGCCATCACCAGCTGCTGTCTCTCAACTTTCACATCTTCTCCAGTTGGAATTCTGTGTCCATTCAGCCAACAACACTAATGACACATCTTCCCCTTCCTGAATCCTGGCAGCCACCATTCTTATTTCTGCTTTCCGAGAATTGACTATTAGAGGAATGGCTTTACCTTTTTTTTTTTTTTTTTTTTTTTTTTGCTATATTTCAGTTTACACAACTACAGTGCTTGGGTCCCTACGAGTTAGACTGACAGCTCTGTGAAGGCCCATCCTCGGGAACTACAGTGGTGCTGGGCACATAGGTTTGATTGGACAGATGAATGACAAAGCGCTCTTTGTCAAAAACAAAGCTGAAAATTTAGTTCAGTGGGTAGAATGCTTGCATTGGGAAGCTATAGGTTCAGACTCCAGCATGCATAAACTAAGCACTGTTACACACCTGTAGTCCCAGAACTTGGAAGACGAACAAGAAAATCACAAGTTCAGGACCAGTCAAGGACACAAGAGACTATGTCTCAATAAATAAATAAATAAAATGGGGCCAGAAGGATGACTTAGAAGGCAAGACATTTGCCAACAAGAGTAATAACCTTGGGTCTAAATTCTGGATCTCATGTTAGGATAGAAGGAAACAACCACCTCCACAAAATTTCTGACTTCTACATACACTCTGGGTGTGTGCAGGTGTGTGTGTGTGTGTGTGTGTGTGTGTGTGTGTGTGTGTGTGTGTGTGCGCGCGCACGCGCGCGCAGGTCCATGCGTGTGTGTTATGAAATGGAGGCAAGAGGAGCAAGACTTCAGGTTCAGCCTTGGCTGCAATTCAGTGCCAACCTGACCCATGTGAGACCCTGTCTCAAAACAAACAAACAAACAAATTACAAGGAGTAGAGCCATTGACTTTCCCTATACACATTTCAAGCATTATGTTCATGTAAAACACAGGTGTCTAAAACTTGGTTGCTTACTAATTACTTACACAAACATTCTCGTTTGTCCTAAAAGTTGTCCAGTGAGGTAGGTGGTTGCTCTTGACGTATTCTATATAAACTCAGGTTCAGGAAACTGAAGTGCCTTATCTTATGCCACACAGCTAGCAAATGCTAAACCTATAATCTATACCTAAAATTCATACTTTAAGCCCAAAATTGTTTTTGCATCTACCTCTCTGGAAACATTCTTTGAACAACAAGAGTTCTAAATCCCTTCTGAGATGGTAAAGGAAGGGACTAGATTGAGTACTTTACCTCCAGAAGATTTGGGGCACTTCGTTTATTAAACATAATGGCTGTTTATTTGTTATTAGAATAGTGGGATAGTCTTTAACTCTCTGTGAACTGCCACAAACCACACCTAGCTAGACGAAAGAGACTCCAATCACTGTGACTTTACCCTGTTCTGCCCCCTTTCAGTGAACACCAAGAAAAGCCCTTGTCCATAGCTCTCATCCCCTGAGCAAACCTCATGAGGCCTGGTGGCAGGCACATTCCTGTAATCCCAGCCTTAGGGAGGCTAGAGCAGTATTACAGCAAGTTCAAAGCCAGCCTGGGCTACATAGTGAGGCTCTGTTTTAAAATTTGTATAGAAAGAACCTGAGGGGACCTTTGAAGTTATCTTAATCTGCTCTCTTATAAAAAAAATTTAAGGGGGCTGGAGAGATGGCTCAGTGGTTAAGAGCCTGGGTCTTCCAGAGGTCCTGAGTTCAATTCCCAGCAACTACATGATGACTCACAACCATCTGTAATACGATCTGGTGCCCTCTTCTGGCCTGAACGGATAAATGCAGACAGATTATATACATAATAAATAAATAAATCTTAAAAGAATAAGCATTTTCTTAAAAAAAATTTAATCAAAGGAAGTCAGAATTAGAACTTAGTCTTGGTGCTTGACTAGTAGAGCACTTACCTATGTATGTGAGTTACTGAAGTCAGTCCCCGCTGAAAAAGAGTAAAATTTAACCTCCACAGTAAGGGGTGAACACCTTCAGACTGGACAGACTTAGAGCCCCACATGTGACCTCTCTTATCAGACACAGATCACCAGCAGGATGTAGTGGCTCACACCTCTAACTGCATTTTTAGTCACAAAAGTAAATTTCTGATGTTGGAAAAACTTGCAATATGCTACTAACGACATTAACAGTAAAATATAAAGAAAAGAATCAGTGAGCTTTTCAAACTAGGAAATTTTTGTTGAATGTACATATCGGTGAGGTGTGAACTAAAGGAGTTTAATACTGAAAGAAAGGATAGTTGTAAAAACTAATTGCAGGCTGCCAGTAGTGGCACAGGCCTTTAATTTGGTGATAGTTTGAAAGATATAGCTATAAAAATAACACTTCAAATTGAAAGAGTCAAGGTACTGGAAGGGGACAGAGAGATGCCCATTTTATTAACAAAGAGCTTCATAGTGACTGGGGCATCCCTGGCTATATGCCTAGTGAGTTAAAAGATAGCCTAGGCCACATGATACCCTGTCTCAAAAAAAAAAAAAAAAAAAAAAAAAAAAAAAATAGCAAAGAATAGAGCTATTGATTTTGCAGTTGTCAATTACCACTCTACCAGTGTATAGACACAATTGTCTGGTACTTGTGTCTAGTCACTTGTACAAATGGTATCCTGTTTGCTCTGAAAGTAGGCTAAGGAGGTAGGTAGGTGTTCTTGACCATTTCAAGGCTGAGAAAATGTCAGGGTTTAGAGTAGGAACCAAGCCTCATTACCCAAAACAGACTCAAGAAGATAGACAATAATTTTAAAATTGAGGGTCTGGGCCAGGGCTCAGTGGTAGAGAACTCACTTAGTATGAGCAAAGTTATGGGTCCAGCGTCTAGCACTGCAAACAATAAAGACAGGAAATACAGTGATTAATGCTGTTCATTAAACTCAAAAAAAAAAAAAAAAAGGGAATCTGGAACAGATGAAGCATGTTACCATTTGTGTAATTTATAGGAGCATAGAGTTTTATGTGGGAAGGGTTTTGAGTAATCCTAACAATGTGCTCTAAAGAGCAGGGGCATCAGCTGAGAGCTGATGGAAATGTGGAATCCTGGGCTCCACCACAGACCTACTAACAAGGATCTACTCTCTTCTTCATGAAAGCAAAGCAAATGCTCTTCACCACTGAGCCATCTCTCCTCAGCCTACACAAAGTTGATCTTACTATTAGATGCAGTATGTGAAGTACTTGGAAACCGTTCCTCATAGGTTTCCCAGTGAACAGTCGATATTCCTATTAACATGGAGAATATTCATGGTATTTTCCAAGCCCTTCCATGATCCTCCTTGCTGGGATTATGCTATGGGTTAGTTTTACTGCCTGGAACCTGGATAGATTTTGAGTTGTTATGTCAACAGGCATCTCACATTGCAGTCCCAGAGAATACTGGCTGACTGAATCTGTGCAGTGTGTTCTCCCATCAGCAGGCTTCAGTCTTCTCTGACACTTCCTGGCCAAGGGTAACATAAATATTTGAATGGGTTACTTGGTGCTGACATTTAGTGTTTCACAGCAGTTAAGATCTGTCAGTGAAAAGGCCTGGCAACATTGTAGGTTCCTCCTCCTGCCAAGGTGCTAATGGTTTAAAGAAGGGGGGAGAGGAGAGCTTGATTAATTTAAGATGTACTTCCTGAGGGGAATGAGCCAAAAATATCTTGGCTTAATTATTGTATGGTTTGTGTATGGACTCAATGCATAAATATATGGATGTTTTTAGATAGCTGAATTAGGCACAGCAGAATTATTATTATTATTATTTTGGAAGCCATTCCATTTAAAATGAGAAAGCAGCCAGCCTGGTCTACAGAGAAAATGCCAGAACAGGTTCCAAAGCTACACAGAGAAACCCTGTCTCAAAAAAAGAAAAACAAAAAATGTAGAAAGCAGCTGGACATGCCTTTAATCCCAGCACTCAGGGGCAGAGGCAGATAGATCTTTGTGAGTTCAAGGACTGCTTAGTCTACAGAGTGAGCTCCAGGACAGCCAGGCTACACAAACAAAACCTGTCTTGGAAAAGAGAGAGAGAAAGAGAGAGTTTTCAAGATAAGGGCTTAAGAAATGGCCCAGCAGTAGGTGACCCAGTTTCATTTCACAGTATCCACATCAGGTGATATAAACATTGATGAGAGTACCTGATTCCCTAAGATTTACCCTTAAAATAAATCACTGTATTTGAAAAAAGTTTTCCAAACTTACTTAAGAAATCTTTCCATAACATTCACAAAGTAGACCTATGTCTATTGGGACATGTGTGAAGATTTAAGTGTCAGCGAATTAGTGAAACAAGTGGATGGTGAAATTATATATGATCTCATGTCTAATTACATGACTTGGAAATATAAGCATACACAAACAGTAATGAGTATATTTACCAGGGTGCTAATTAGATGGTTATTTCTATATCGTGGTTTAATAAAAATCAGGATAAACAAATAGGCCAAATAGATGTTTATTCAGGGAGAAATAACTTACAACCTAGACAGATGAACACCAGCAAGTTCCGCTGGATAATCTCCTGCCAGCAAAAGAGTGTTCGAGGCTCCTCCTCAGACCTAGTTCCACAGGTCACTTCCGCCCCTGGCTCCACCCCCCAATGGGCGTGGTCAATGCCACAAAAGGAGACAAAGTAAATCTCCCACTACATTTCTATATGAAAGAATTATGGACTTTTATAGTCTTATTTTTTTGTGTGTGTGTGTCTGTATAGTTTTCAAATATTCTGGAAGCTGGTGAAACAGTTCTGTGGGCAAATTAGCTTTGCCACTAAGCATGGTGACCTGAATTTGGTCTCTGAAACACACATAGTAGAAAAAGAAAATCAAGTCCCAAAGTTGTCCTCTAACCCCTGCTAGCATTCTATCACACACACAAGCACACACAAAAAATAAAAATTTGTAAATTTTTTAAAAATCTCATTCAGCTTTTGCCTTAAAATCCTGATCCTCCTGACCTTCCTTTCTCTGCCTCCCTAAAGCTGTGGTTAAAAGTGTGTTCCACCATGCCCCAATACAATTGTTTTCACTTTTAAGCTCCTGATAGATACAGAGACAACATATACAAAAGTTCCCTGATAAAAGAAATCATATCATCGACCTTGTTACTCTCAGTGGTGTTTGATGGGCCTTTGTGGTCATTTATTTTTATTGCTAGCCTCTGCTACTGACCTATCTCTCTAGGCTGAACTGACCCACCTGTCTCTAAGATTGCTCTCTTTGCTCAGGCATAAATACTTCCTGGACCTTAACAGAATTACATGTAAGGCTTTTGCAAAGTACAAAATCCTGGTTCAGTAAGTTATGGAGATAGAATGTCTCAACACAGCCTGGGAATGGAGGAGCTGTCTGTGAGGGGAGCTAACCTATAACCCAGGCCTCTGTGAAACTCTCTCCCCAGGTATGCCGGCATCCTCCTGGGCATCACAAACACATTTGCCACTATTCCCGGAATGACTGGGCCCATCATTGCTAAAAGCCTGACCCCTGATGTAAGTAGAAAATTTGCTTGGAAACCAAAAAGATTTGGGAGTTTCACATCTCTGTCAAATTTAGTATATTGTAATGATAAAATTCTGAGCATTTATTCCTTATGAATTTTTTTAAAATGTGTATTTGGGTGTTTTGCCTGAGTGTTGTCTTTGTACCCAAGGAAGCCAAAGAGGGAGGGCATTGGATTCTATGGCCCTGTAGTTACAGGAGATTGTTAGGCATCGTGTGAATGCTATTCTTAGTCATTATGTGGGTACTGGAAACCAAACTCAGGTCATCTACAAGAGCAACCAGTGCTCTTAACCACTGAGCCAACTCTCCAACCTTTTATGAAATTCTTTGTGATAAAAATACAAAATAAAATAAAGTTGTATTGAAAGCCATTGCTTATTAGGTAGGGATGTGGGTAAGTGACTGGGAAAAGCATACACCTTAGTGTTATACCCTGTCTGTGTGCACCATGAGGAAGGAGAGAGACAACACTTAGAGTTCCACCACTTTTAATAATTCATCATATAAGCTGGCTGCAGGACAAGGACTTTGGAACCTTGTTTCTCCTGATAGCCTCGAGCTATCAGGGGACAGAAGCAGGGTTTATAAGCACAAAAACCACAAGCATTTGTTGCCTAGTTACAGTTACAGTTACAGCTTTCACCAATCAGGAGTCAAAGATTAGAGACTTACTTTGTTCCATCATTGTCAACCCACACAAAGGTAAGCCTTTTAGTACAACCAACCAGATTCATTTGTTCTTTCTGTTGTTAGGAATATCATAATGTCTTAGAGAACTAAGGGGCATAACAGACTGTTCTGTTGTCTAAGGAGGAGGTGGATCAGCCATTGGAAGGTTCCCAGCTCCCCTAGAGCCTGGGAACTTGAACTGTGTTTCACTCTAGAGGTAAAATGAAAATGGCTGTATTTAGGTCAAGGTGCTTTTGCCTGCTCCCTTCATTAGTAGATGAGAAGGCATATTGTTTTCAGACTGGATGTGTGCCTCAGTTAGTAGATTGCTTCTCTGGAATGCATGGAGCCCTGGGTTTCATTCCCAACATAAAACTGGGCATAATGGGGCACACTCATAATCTCAGCACAAGAAAAGAAGAAAGTACACTGTTTCCACAGAGCACTCTTTGGGGGTTAGGCTGAATAACAAACAGAATTACATAAAGATCTTTATCCCAGAACTCAGTACGTTGGCCAGGTGGCTAAGGAGGCAGTGCTGAAAGACAATCAGGAATTGAGCTCCATAGGAAGACAGTATGAGCCTAGGCCACATATGACCATCCCAAAAGCAAATAAGTAAATGGATCAGCTAGGCACAGTTCCACAAGCCAGTAACCAGCACTCAGGAAGCAAGGGCAGGAGGATTGCCTCTAGTTTGAGACCAGCCAGGGCTACATAATGAAAGCTTGTCTCAGAAGAGGGAGGGAGAGAGGGAGGGAGGAAGGATAGGAAAGAACTTAGTTGTGTAAAGACAAATTACAGGAGACATTAGGAAAATTCCTAAATCCTAATGATAGAACTGAATATATATTCAAACATGGATATATCTAGCAGCTGTTACCCACATAGCAGAACACTGCCCCTCAACAAGGTAGGACTCCTTCCTGCCATTCCTCCCTCATCACTAAGCACAATAGCCATGAGCTTTGTCTGAGCTTTTTATAGAAACTCATCAGTGTACATTGTCTGTCTTTGTTGCTTATGTCTATATTAGTACAATGGTTCATCCTCACTGACATTTGATACTGTACTAAAGAATGCTCCATAGTCCTGCTGCAGCTGAGTATTCAGTTTGTTCCAAGCACAGACTTTTATGAATGACATTTCTATTCTTAGAACCTTGCATTTTCATCCTTTTTTTTTTTCAAACAATTTTTTTCATTGTATTTTCCTTCCTTGTCCAGAACACTATCAGAGAATGGCAGACTGTGTTCTGTATTGCTGCTGCTATTAATGTGTTTGGTGCCATTTTTTTCATCCTGTTTGCCAAAGGGGAGGTGCAGAATTGGGCTCTCAGCGACCACCATGGACACAGAAACTGAAAATGACGACAAATAATAATTAATGTATTTTTATTTATCGTGTAAACTGAAAGTGCCTTTGGTATTTTAATGTGTAAGCATTCTCTGTGACAAAAATAGTACTCATATTACATTTTTAAGGTAATCATGAAATGTTACTAGTTGCAAGACTGTTTAAAATGAGCTGTTTTTAATTATTAATAATGTATCTGCCAGAATTTATACTGGGTTCACATACCCAGCTGCAAATCAGGCAGCATGATATAACGGAGGGCTTAAGACATTGGTTCTAGGCTGGGCAGTGGTGGCACACACCTTTGGGAGGCAAAGACAGGTGAATCTGTGAGTTCGAGGCCAGCCTGGAGAACAGAGCAAGTTCCAGGACAGCCAGAGCTGCACAGAGAAACCCTGTCTGGAAAAAAAGAAACAAACAAAAAAAGATAGTGGTTCTCAACCTGTGGCTCATGACCCCTTTAGGGGTCAAATGACCCTTTCATAGGGGTCACCTTAGGCTATAAGAAACCACAAATATTTACATTACAATTCATAACAGTAGCAAAATTACAGTTATGAAGTAGCAATGTATCAGTTTTATGGTTGAGGGTCACCACAACATGAGGAACTGTATTAAAGAACCACTGGCTTAAGAAATCAAGCTGAAATGGACCCTCCCCCGTTAGTACTTGTCTAAATAGATTAGATAAATCATCTCATATCTTGTTAAATACCTGTTTTTGTCTAGTTCCCTCATAAAAACTGTTGCCAACTCTCCCTAACACATGAATCTCAGACACATCTCCATAAAGCCACCAGCCCCTGTAAGACTTTGCCTGGCAGCTGGACTATAGGATCTGTGCCCAGACAGCTGCCAAGAATTCCTTCCTTGGCTTTGGGGCTGGAGTGCTCAGCAGTTATCAGAGATGGCTTCCAAGTGCAGGGCCAATGCCAAGTGTTGGCTGACACTCTTTCCCTGTGGCTGTTAATATGTAGATAAAGCCCTAAGTGGACCAGAGAAGTAGGATCCACGGCTGCTGTCTTGACACTGCCAGCCTGCCCTTGGCAGCGCCCAGGCCTAATTACTGGCAGGTGAGCTACAAAGCAAAAGTGTGATGACCAGTCAATTGGAGATAACATCTTCCTTGATTAAAATGACTTGCACATGAATCAGTATAAATGTTTACATTCAGTTTTTCTAGCTACATTAGAATTTGTTTGTTTTTTGTTTTTCCAGACAGGGTTTGTCTGTAACTTTGAAGGCTGTCCTAGAAGTAGCTCTTATAGACCAGGCTGGCCTCAAACTCACAGATATCTGCCTGCCTCTGCCTCCCGAGTGCTGGGATTAAAGGCCTGTGCCACCAACACCCAGTTTTGGAATTTTTTTTTTTTTTACTGTTTTAAGTTTTTCTTCAGTCTCTCTTGATTTTTGCTTCTAGTTACAATTTAAAGTGACTTTGAGAACTAGCAATTTGGCTCAGTGGTAGAGCGATTACCTGGGACCATGTTCCATCCAAGGGCAAAACAGAGCTAAAGGGCACAGCACCTGGAACAGTAGAATCACCTTCACCATGCTTCCCAAAGCTAGCTTCCAGAAGTTGCAGCTAGCCAGTTTCTGGTGGTTGTGGGACATACTGTAAGAGTTACCTAAGGACTGAAAGTCTGCCTGACGTTCTGTTATGTGTGTTCCAGCACTTAACCTGTAACAGTTTAACATGTGGTTGGCATAACACAGTGTAAATGCAGTTACATAAATTTGTTTTTAAATTTGTAAATATAGGTTAAGTTACCATGTGACATTTCTTTTATAAATCATCAAAATAAATCATTTTGCATTAACTCTGTGTTTTTAAGTTATCTTATGTATATGGTATGTGTGTTTTGTGTGTGTGTGCTATCTGTGCACTACCTTCATACTTCCTTCCCAAGGTGGATCTTTGTGAGTTCGAGCCCAGTCTGATCTACTGAGCTAGTTCCAGGACAGGTTCCAAAGCAATAAAGAGAAACCAAAAGAAAAAAGCAAACAAACAAACAAACAAAAAGAATAAATCTCAGAGCAGGAAGAATACTGGGGAAGCAGCAGAAACACGTCACAGTCTCATATAAGCAGTACAAATTCGTCACTTCCGCTGAAGAATTACAGATGTGTAAATTTAGATGTTTCTGCATCTCAGAGCAGCCTCAGGCTGTTCTGCCAGCTGTTAAAGTTTCCCTCTAAAGCAAAACATAAAAGATATTTCTAGACTCTCGTCAACAGAGAGCAAGATGAAAAGATGTGAAAGGCCATAACTTTCCCACCCTGAGGAAAACACAGATGATTTTTCAGGTGTCTGTCTGAGTCTATCTGGAGGATGAGAAGGAAACAAGTGCCACCACTCTCCAAAGCATCAGAAGCGCGATGGTTTCACAACCAACAATATCAGTGTCTAAACATCCACCCCTCCCAAGGCCTGCAGAGACTACCTACTGGGCCCTAGAGATAGGAGGAGGAACAGTCAGAATTATGTTTTGAGGCTGAAAAGCTGAAACATCCTAGCATTTTCAAGTATGGATGCCTGTCAGGATCAAGCATGTCCTCTCATCTCACCACCAACAATCCTAGTCTAAAGCATTTTATAATTTTTCTCAGCAATCAGAAATACGGATTTTAGTTATGTTGAGGTCGATAGCAATCTAAATATGATAGTTGGGTCTTTTTAATGTTAAGTCGGTTATGTGGTGCCTGTGATGGAGACATGACATTTTAAACTTCCAAAGCTCTTAATTTGACTTTCTAGCCAGTGACTGTGGGAAAGAGTAAAGGCATACCATTACTTATTTCCCTCAGAGTCAATCCAGGAGAGCATGAGGGTCCAGGGGGGTGTGCATAACTGTCACCCACAGTCAGGAGTGTCAGGAGTTTCAAAACATTCTCAGCTACTTGGTGAGTTTGAGGCCATTGGTGGGGAGGGGGGGGTGATCCCTTAGGGAACTACTTCTTAGGATAGTTAAGCTGGCTGTTCCAGAGAATTTGATTAGTAGTGTGAAACCTGCCCAAGCGTACTGGTCTCTCTGGCCACTGGTCACTTACAATGTGCCCCTCTTCGGAGGTCCTTTTAACCACTTACCACTGTTACCTTTCACGGTGCTTCACAGTCTGTAATCAGCACTGCCTGTTTTCTTCACTCTGTATGTCACATCTGACTTCTTTCAACACAGATCACAAGGGCCAGGAGGTAAAGGACAGCTACAGGAGAGATTCCCTTCACCCAAAGATTCCACTGAGTTAATGGATAACAGACTGAAGGGAACTTATAACTTCTTATCAGTATGGGAGGTCAATATCTAACCCATTCAAAGAGTTTCTGTAGCTGGACAAAAGTAAGAAATATAAATAAGCTGTGGGTGGCAGTCTCACCCACAATCCTAACAATGGAGAAGTGAAATGAAGGAACCAAAAGTTTCCAGTCATTCAGGCTACACAGCAAGTTCACAGCTAGCCTGGGATACCTAAGACCCAGTCTCAGAAACACAAACAGGAAAGGGAAAATGAAGGAGCAGTAAAAAGACAATTCACTTAGTAGCAGACCATATGTCTAAAAAGCGTATGAAGGGATGGGCAATATTCCCAGGGACCAGAGACAGCGAGTAGGGGAAGCACACACTAATGTCACAGTGAGACAGGACCTTAGACTCCCCAGGACAACAAAGACTGAAAAGTTTGGTGCTATTAGCTCAACAGTAGCTCACAGCCTCACATGATTGGGATCCAGGTTCAACCCCAGAACTACATAAAAAGGGAAGAAAGGGAAGTTTGGAGTGTGTGTGGACAAAGAGTGTTCAGAGATTAACATTCCTGTACATGAGGAGAAAGGGGAGGCTATAGATTAGCAAATATCCCAGAAAGCTAAAGATTTGGGGTTGGTTTGTTCGGTTTTGATATGATTTGATTTGGTTTTGAAACAGGGTCTTGTAAGGAGTACGGTTTACCATACTCCTTACAGGGTCTCATGTAGCTCAGGCTGCCTTGGAACTCAAGGCTGACCTTGAATCTTAACTCTCCTTCCTCTGCCTCCCAAGCACTAGCATTACAATGTGGCTTGTATTTCAGTTAAATAGAACTTGTCTTCCTGACCAGATATGTGCTCTAAACCTGTGTGTCCTTCATGATTCTTGCTTAGGTTCATGCTTATTGTGATAAAAGATAAAGGCAGCCCACAGGTGTCCATCATCACGGCAATATAGGTTTAAATGCCATGTTTACTAAGAAATAATATAATTTGAGATCATGAAGAAATCTCAAAAATATTGAATACAAAGTCTCATAACACAATGTCCCTTTCAAAAAACTTTAGCTAGGCAGTGGTGGCACACACAGCTTTAATCCCAGCACTTAGGAGGCAAAGGGAGGCAGATCTTTGTGACTTCAAGGCCAGCCTGGTCTACAGAGTAAGTTCCAGGACTGCACAGAGAAACCCTGTCTTAAAAAGAAATTGAGACTGAGTGTAGGCTAGCCCTTGGTAGACTCACTTTCATGACTCATAGCATTCCTCCTGTCTCATACTCCTGTGGGTTATCAGCATGAGTCACTACATCCAGCAGCACTTTTTAAATTTATGATATTTACTTATGATAATGCCTCCCTATATAGCTCTAGTTGGTCTGAAAATTGCTATATAGAATAGGATGGCCTTGAACTCATAACAATCTTCCTGTTGCTGGCTTCCCAGTATTGGGAAAGTTTTTTATTTATCTGGAGGCTGTTGGATTTTTTGTTTTGTTTTGTTTTGTTTTTTTTTTTTTTTTTAGACAGCATTTCTCTGTGACTTTATAGACCAGGCTAGGCTTGAACTCACTGAGATTCACCTGCCTCTGCTTCCCAAGTGCTGGAACTAAAGGTGTGCAACACCACTGACCAACCTGATTGTTATTGTTGTTTATATGTTGTAGTTGTGAGCCTAGCCTTCACAACCAAACATTCTCTCAAGTTTTTCTCAGTCACATTTATTTATGGGGCAAGACCAAGCATACATTGTCGAGCTTTTCTTCCGCTACACAAGTCTCAATTACATGAGTTGGCAGCAGGCACCTTTGTTTCCAGCATCTCACTAGCTCTGGTTTTTCCTCTTTCAAAACAGAGTCATATAACCCAGGTTTGCCTACAACCCACTATGTAACAAAGGATGACACTGAGCTCCTGACCCCACTACCTCCACCTTGCCAAGTGGGATCACAGAAATGTACAAGCCCACCTAGGCATTTCTAAAGCTACAGAAATGTGATAATTTTCCAAGGGCATTACACAATGGAGAATAAGTAATAAACATTTTAGAGGAGGGGAAGGGGAATGAAGGAAAGGGGGAGTAATTGGAAATAAAAAAGACTGTGGGCTTGCATTGAACAAATAGGTATGGAAGTACATGTAGGTGATCCCAGCACTTAAGAGACAAGGGCAAGAGGACTGTAAGTTCAAGACCACTAAGTTACACACGAAACCCTTGTGCGGTGGCAGGTTGCTTGCTCAAAATATGCAAGGCCTCGGTTCTGTTCCCAGCACTGTTAAAAATAAGTCAGTAATGGTGGCCCACACCATTAATCCCAACACTTGGGAGGAGAGACAGACAGATCTCAGTGAGTTTGAGTTCCAGGATATCCAGGGCTACATAGAGAGGGACCCTGTCTCAAGGGGGTCAGGTGGTACTGAAGAAAGATCATTGACTGCTCTTCTAGAGGACCCATGACTGGTTCCCAGAACCCATATGGCAGCTCACAACCAGTTGTAACTCCAGTTCCAGAGGATTCAATGTCCTCTACTGACCCCTCAGGCACCAGGCACACATGAAGTAAACAGACACATTCAAACAAAATACCCATGCATAGTATAAAAGAAAGAAAGAACAAGGAAAAAGATCTGATGTGATAGTGCATGCCTATATAATTCCAGCGCTGAGCATCAGAAGTTAAGGGCCAGCCTCCAAAACATGACAAGCCCAAAACTAGGATACACTACAAGACACCCTGTAAAGGAAGAAAGAGGCTCACTGTTATGTTTCAAGTCATCCTGATCCACATAGCAGATTTCAGGGTAGCCAGGGATAGCCCCTGCATCAGAAGAAAAGATAAATAACAAGACCACAGTGGTTGTGTACGGTAGCGATTTGGATGAGAATGGTCTCTGTAGGCTCACATATTTGAATGTTTGATTCTCAGTTGGTGAACTGTTGAGGAAGGATGGAGGTGTGGCCTTGCTGGAGGAGGTGTGTCACTGGAGTTGGGCTTTGAGTTTTCAAAAGCCCAGAATGGCTAGTCTGTCTCTGCCACAAACTCGCAAATAAGATTTAAGCTTTCGGCTACTGTTCAGGTACCCATCTGCCTGCCTGCTGCCATGCTCTCTACATTGATGGTCAGGTAGGTATTCACCCTCTGAAACTAGAAGTCAGCTCCAACAGACTCTTCTGGTCATGGTCATAGTGTTTCTTCACAGCAATAGAAAAGTAACTAAGATGTGTGCTCATCAAACATACTCAAGGGTTTGATCCCTAGTGCCAAAATAAACACAGTTTTAAAAATATCTTGTGGTGCAGCCCTCAGCTCCTCTGGGGTAAATGAAAAATTATTAAAAAAAAATCTACCTTGTGGATTTTCAGTATATTAAAATTGGAAAGGAGAAGGTGTTTTATAATTTTCTTTCCTTTGCATTAATATTTTACAAGGCATTTTCGTTACTTTGTGTTACTTTGGTAATTAAAATGTTGGAATTTTATGG